AATTATACTAATGGTCATACTTGTTTTTGTAAATGAGCTAATTTGCTTGTCTGCAATGGCTCGATATAGATTACAAACATAATGCAGCTCATTAACAGGGGAAACCCCTCTGCTCTGATTGGTCCTCGCCTGTATGTCACGGAAGTTTGAGTAAGAGGCCGCTGGTGGTTCTGCATCAATGCGTTCCTCGTCTAAGGGCGCAAAGAAAGTGATCCTGAGTGCCAAACACCAAAATAAGACATGAGACACCCTGTTGCCTTCTGGTTCTTGCAGGCATGCACAAATCAGGACCTCAGGACCACTCTTCTTACATTACATATTTTTGTTGATTTTTGAGTGAATCTAAATACTAACCCTCTGTAGATAACACACCTCTGCACATTTTAAACTATTCTTTAACTATTCTTTATTCTATAAACTTCCTGTTTATTTGGTGAAGTTAACATTTACATTGGGGGGGCGGGGACAAAACATAAAATCTAGCACATACAAATGTTATGGCACTTTTAATGTTATGTTCATTTTTTTTTTATTTTCAATTTGTTAAATTCAGCCATAGATGTTGTTGTAGAGGATGTTTTAACTTATTGTCACTTAGAAAACCAACAAAACATGTAATTTAACCAGGGGAATCCAAAAAGCATGTAATACATTAAAGATTAAAGAAGATTAAATTTGCATCCTTTTAAAATAGAGTATTTTCCTTAAGAATATATTTTATACACCTGGCTTTTGTGTCTTTCTGAGGCCTGTGGAATGTTTGTATGCTGTTTGTTTTCTAATGGACATCATGGCACTGGAGAGTGATTGTTCCTTTAGAAATGTATTGTTTATGCCCATCCCCAAACTGTGCTACCACACAGGGCTTCCCAGCCCATGGTAAAGGAGATGGAACTGGGTTTTTCCATAGCTAGAACTGGAGGAAAGTTGACTTTATGGAGATTATAGGGGAGCCTTCAAGGCCTTGGGCCTGAGAGTGACTGCTGTAGACATCACTAACATGAGCATGAGGAATATCTTTGTTGACTGAACCTAACTAATGATACTGTGTTATAGTCACGAATCAATCCAAGTCTCCATTATAATACTTTTGATATGTCCTAATGAAGCAGTAACTGTGTACACAGTTGGTCTAATGTACATGTTATATTCATTAATGTATCGCTGCTTCAACCAGTTTCTGTGTGGAGTTTGCATGTTCTCCCCGTGTCTGCGTGGGTTTCCTCCAGGTACTCCGGTTTCCTCCCACAGTCCAAAGACATGCAGTCAGGCCAATTGGACTTGCTAAATTGCCCTTGGTGTGAGTGTGTGTGAATGTGTATGTCTGTCTGTCTGCCCTGCGATGGACTGGCAGCCCGTCCAGGGTGTATCCTGCCTTCCGCCCAATGACAGCTAGGATAGGCTCCAGCACCCCACCGCGACCCAGAAGGATAAGCGGTTTAGATGATGTTTGTGTGTGTGTGTGTGCTTCAACCAGTACTGTCTTAGGTCACTTTCTTTAGTAAAATCTTCTAATTTTGAAATGTGTGTTTGTGTGAGCATGTTCACCTGTTGAGATGATTTATCTATGTTTTTATCAGTTCTGTTAATGGTGTTTTCTTTTTTATCTTCCTGTATTCCTGAAAGATATTTTTTCTGTTAAATGTAACCATCCATCTTTTTTAATGGCCAAGTCTTGGTTATCTCTTTCTCCTTTTTGGGGTATATTTAGGATTGCCGCCTCTGCCCTGTAAAATTCCTGGACGTTTGATCAGTGGCGTGATTTTTTGTTATTTTTTTACTGAATTTAGTAGACAGGTAGCTCATGATGCAGTCTAAGATAGATAGATGTCAGTTCAGCTACAGAATCTCATCTTCTCAGTCACATTGAGATGTTGCCTAGTGCCTCCAGCAGTGCACCTTTCCCAAACAGTTGTCCCTACACTGAGGGAAGTCTGATAAAACAAAGCAGTTTAAGTCTCTTTAGATTCTTGGAATTTTTTTCCTGGACAGGCAACCAGAAACCCAGACAATCTAGGGAAATCCTGGACAGGTGGCAACCCTAGGCATCTCATCACTGAAATTAAGAATGGACATTTTTCATATGTTCTTTAACTTTTCTTATAGTCTTGCTGTTTAGAAACTGCCTAGTAACACCATATAACCTTAATGCAGAAACAGCTAGCATTTGCTTACACTCCACTTAAGATGCACAGTGATTCTTATTCAACCATCACTATCGTTTTGTATAATTATGTTGCTAGCCATGTGTTTTAGAGTTAGAATCTGTCTTGTGTCTTGCTAGTCTTGCTAATAGCTAATCACCCACTACATCAGACTAGACTACACTACTGCTTTGTACCTGTAAATCTGCAACAGGCTTAATTTTTTTTCCCTTTGTGATGCAAGAACAGATTGCCTTTTCTGGCCACAGTGTGGCACAGGAGAGCCAATCTGGGTTTCTGTGGCATTGTGCTTGGTCTCTCACCAGCATATGTCTGCATGTACAACTGGGCCTGGAACAAAATGTTCAATTCCTTTGTCTCAATTGCTTAGCTAAACTGATTCTTTTTCCTCTCCCCAAGGTGCATATGCAGGTGAAGTGGAGAGAAGGAGAATAAGTTGGAGAGAGACAAGCTATACTGTGTTTGGCAGAGGTGCTTTAATCTCTGGTGCAGAGTAGAATTGAGAGGGTGGCCTTTCATTGGGAAACTGGGATAAGTTAATATAGGTTTCCTTAATTGGCTTACTGATGCCCTTGTGCAAAAAGACTGTTAGCATAGCAACACATCTCTCTCTCTCTCTCTCTCTCTCTCTCTCTCTCTCTCTCTCTCTCTCTCTCACTCCCTCCCTCTCTCTCTCTCTTACTCCCTCTCTCCTTATTGGGAAGGATGCTGTGCGAAAAGGGGAGGAGGGGGCTAAAATTGGTGCCCCTAAGCAGGAAAGCCCATATATGGAGTCCAGCAGCACTGTCGTGCGACGTAGGAATAGCAGGTACGTTCGGTGCAGGCTGCCGGGGAGGGGGAGAGAGAGAGAGAGAGAGTGAGAAAAAGAGAGAGAGAAAGGGGAGGGCTTTTGCGCGTGTGGCATTCAGTGCGTGTGTGCGTCAAAGTGGGAAGTGGCTGTCTGTGCGCGAGTGCCTCTGTGTCAAGTGTGTGCGTCAGTCTGAGTCAGATAGTGTCTCATCATGAGTGTGCGTCAGTGCTGTTGCTGAGCAGTCCATGCTCCAGGGGAAGAAAGAGAGAGAGCGCGCAGGAAGGAGGGATGCAGGGACCAGAGTGATGGAGGGAATGGGAGCGATGGACAGACGATAGTGAGCGAGAGAGGAGGGGGGAAAGAAACTGGAGAGGAGAAGGAGACAATGACGCAAAAGACATAGGCAGCTTTAAGTGCACTTTAATATAAATGCATTTGTTTTTGACAACCAAATACACTTATCAGCGACACAAAAGAACACTGATCCACAATGTCCATTCTTCATAGATAGCATATGTCAAAGTATGTTTTGTTTTTTTTCTCCATCGTATACAATAAAAATGTCTCTGATATGTACAGTATCTGCTCTGTTTTGTACAAATGTACAAATGTGTACATCCTATTATCAAACTGAAACCTCAGCACACGCCTATCTAGAGGCATGTGCACCAAACATCCATTCTGTATAACAGCACACATACGATATAATACTTTGCTCGTTTGTTTGTTTTTTAAACTTAGCATGTAAATAGGTAGAACGTAGGAATCAATCCTTTACTTGACCGTAGACAACTCTACGTTAGCATGTCGACACCATGGGAATAGAACCATTCTCAACCCATGTCGACTAGTAACTGAATAGAAATAGTACCCCGTCCCGAGTGTCCACTTCATTTTTTAAAACAAAACGTCGGCGTTGGTTGTTTGTTTTTTTTTTTCAGTTTTTTTTTAAACCCCTCTCAAAAAAGAAGAATAGGCCATTCACACAGTCATGTTCACCACTCTACACCGCACAGAGTAAAGTTACGATGTCACCGTGGTATTCACTGTATAAAGATGCTGCCTGGCTGAGTTCAGCAAGCCTTTGCTTGTGCCAAGCACACGAGAGCAACAACAGATTGCAAGCATTACAAATATTGATGCTGCAAAAGTCCAGTGCATCTGTGTCGGGCCTTGCCTATGAAAATGGCTGACCGAGGAGCCATTTAACACTGGCTGGCCAAAGTGTCAGTCCAGCAGAATGTGTGTGCAGTCACACACAGTCTTCTGTTCTTCTCACTGTCAGCTGGTAGCTTCTTCTCCAGATGGTGTCCACTGGACCAGTTGAAGAATATTGGAAAACTTGACTTCTCTTGCACACAAACTTGGATTTGTTCACAGATTAAAGAAACATTTGTACAGCACACTGATACACAGATTTTGAAAAAAAAGAACTCATGGCAGCTGCAAACCCAAAGCTCAATGTTTTCTGGATTTTGCACATTTGCACATTGCGCTGTTAGAATTACTGTCAAATCAAAGTTAACAAGAGTTTTGAAGACAGTCATGGTACTGTAGAGTGTAGTGTAAAATACATTTTCCACACATTGGGCTTTGAGTGTGTCATACTGCCATTACAAGCATTGAGCTGTAAGCTGCTGTCTGTTTGTTATCTTTTTGAAATATGATTCTTTTTTCCATGTCTTTAGAGTTCACAACAGAGTATTTTCACTACGAGTGAATACGAATGCAAGTCTGTAAGTCGAGTTGTGCTTACAAAGTCAGAGATCTTAGTCTCTGATAAAAGCTCAGCGTTACAGTAAAGCAGAGACAAAAACTGACCTCCAAGTCTTGTCACAACTTGGTTCACACGCTAGTATATTGCATCATTGTTGAGATGTTGCACCATTATTGACATAAAAATTCATGGATAAATACATGAACAAAATATGAATGAATCTTATCTCATGAGGATATGAGGAAGTTCAAGTCTTTTTGGCCTTATATACATTATGTATATATTTATACATATAGATAATTTTCACTTTTCAGTAAAAGTAGCTCCATGAAATATGACAATATGCCATACTTAATGAAGTAAGTCACAGACTTATTTTAGAACGGAGGATCACTTCCACTCCCATCTGAAAGACAAGAAGGGAAAAAGAAAAAGAGGGTTAGGCAATACTTCTCAGTTATCAAGTATGCTCTATTAATTCAAGTAAGATGTTTGTGGAAAAACAGGACAGAGTTGTACTTACCTTTGTGGAAGCACTGTTGCGGCAGGTGACTTTGGAGTTGATACAACTCAGGTTGTTGCCCCAGGCCAGGGGCGATCGAGGCACCTGCCCCAAACGTGGGTTCCAGGGCGGCCAGCTCCTCGAGGAGGGACTGGGCGCAGGGCAGGCCAGGCGATGCGGGGCTGGCGGGTGAGGAGGCAGGCACTGGAGAGACGGGCGAGGCTGTCAGCTGCAGCGGTGGAGACGCTGGGATACTGGTAGACAGTGGCGATGACACTACCTCTGTCTCCATGGCAACTTCGCCTGCCGCCTTCCCATCCGCCATGTCACCTGCGTTGATTGGCGACATCGTAGCCCCGCACCCGGCCGCATGGTTACAGTGCGCCGATTGGACGCTACAGAAGTGGCCGGCACTCACGGCAGAGACCCCATCAAAGTGCAGGGGTGGACGCCAGCACTCAGGAGTTGAAGGGGAAGAAGGAGGACTGGAGGGAGAAGAAGGAGTGGGAGAGAGTGATGGTGAGGAGAGGTCTTTAAGGAGGGTCTCTAAGACACTCTCTTCAAACAGAGAGTCGTCGTCTGGGAAGATGGGCAGGTCCAGGCCTCTCCAGGATTTCACTGGGTAGAATTCACCCAGAAGCGAGACCGTCTCGAGTCCCACTGAGTCCAGGGAGGGAGATGGAGGTCGTGGAGAGACGGAAGAGGGCAGCAGCTTGGAAAGGAGAGGGTCCAGGTAGAACCCCTCAGCTAGCGTGCTTATGTGCTGGGCTAAAAGGGAAATTTCTGTTCTTTCTTTTTCTCTCTCCCGCTCTAGGGAGAAGAATGATAGGCTGGGCTGTTTTCCAGGTGAGGCTTCAGGTGTGAGCAGGCCTTCAGGTGGGTATGGGAGTGGCCCGTGAGGAACATCAACATACAGTGGACCACGAACCTCAGGTAGAGTCATAATAGTGCAATCCCCATCTCCTGGACTGTCTGGGGTTGGAGGAAGCTTCTCATAGAGTGAGCTGCTGCAGGGCTCAGAGGGGAAGAGAATGTCTGTTGCTGGAGCTGGCAGAGTGAGTGGCAGCAGGGTGGAGAGTGTGGTGGTTGGAGGTGCAGGGCTGCCTTGTGGGTTTGAGGGGGCAGATGGAGAAAGAGAGGGAGCTACTGTAGTTGTAACTGTTGCAGTTGGGGCAAGTGGTGGTGGTGTGGTGGCACCAGTGGGATCAAAGCTGAAGAGGGGTTCCCCAAAGGGGAAGCTGCTGCTGCCTAGCTGAGGCGTATATGGAGGTGTGCACACAAACTCCTTGGTCTGCTGGGCCTGGGTTGTAGGCACTGGTGGTAAAGGAAGTGGCAATGCAGGCAGTGGAGGATCTACCTGGAAAGCTGGGGGAAGTAGAATGTTTTGGGTGAGGAAGTCCAAGTCTGACACTGTGGCAACTGTGACGGGGGATGAAGCAGCTGAAGGCCTGTCAACTGATTCACTGGGTGGCTGCTGGAAGAAGGTCTCTTCCTCCAGAGAGGAGAGACTGGAGCGTGGACCACTCTCTAATGGCATCGTTTCCATTGAGGAGCTGGCACCTTGCTCTTCCGCAGAGCCAGTGCTGCACACTGTTGTGCTGAAGTCAAACGACTGACCCGAGAGACCGCTGCTCCCAGGTGTGAACACTTGGTCAGGACTGGAGAGTGTCTCTGGACTCTGCAAGCTTGCAGGGTCTTGTTGGGAGGTGCTGGTGCTGGTGCTCAGCACTACAGAGAGCTGAGTCTCCTCAGAGCTCAGCTGTTGCCTCACTGACCAGGCCTCTGACTCACTGCAGTAAGAAGAACAAAGAGATGGGTTAATGACATTTTCACCTTTTTGAATTTGTAGAATTAACCACTTACACGTTTGTTAGACTTCAGCTGTACCTGATGATGTAGTTGTTGCTGCTGATAGGGTTCTCTCCTGTCTCTAGCTGCAGGACCATGTAAACCCAGACCCACGAGTGATCTGCAGCTTCCACGCGTACCACCATCTCAGCCCTGCCTTCTCCTCCTTCTCTCACTGTTTGGAAACAGAGGAGGGAAAGAATGAGTCAAGACATATTCCACCCCGCATGAGATCTTGAGTCATATATCATCTCTGTAGGTGTTCTGAAATGTTCCTCTACTACACGGATGTACTGTGGGAGTTGGTCATGGTGAGTGTCAATGCAGTGATTAGCAGCTATGTGGTGGGAGTTGCCTCATACTACACACTGAACTGAGGTAGTAAACTTCGGTGAGACTTTCATCACTCATGTGATACGTGATACTCACACAAACTGCAGTGCTGAGATGAGGCATGCGAAAGGTCTTGTGGATGCAGAAGGCTGTACCAGGAGCGAGAGCGCAGGGCCTCCACATCCATACCCAGGTAAACACTCACACTGCAAGAGAACAAAGTACTTCTGTTGAGACAATGTAATCTGTTTCACATAGATTAGATAAGTATGCAGTAGCCCTATGAATAGTCATGAAAAGTGGATATAGAATGGTAGCCTCACCTGTCCTGTGCGTCCTGTAGTCTCATGTCACGACTGTGCTGTGAGCGGAAACACGATAGGAGGAAACTGCTCTCTAACGATGGGGTCAAAGCTTGTTCAGTGGAGGTGCCAGGTCGGGGTGGGTGAGGCTCCAGAGGTGCACAGAAGCACACCCATACAGGGTTGGAGGTCCAGTAGGATCCTGGTGCGGAAGGGCCAGGCGGTGGTGACAGACAGCGAGCCCGAATCAGGACAAGCTTATTACCAGCACTTTGCCTGCGCACTGACTTTGAGGTGTTGAAACGGCAACGGAACAGTCGGTCTAAAATAAGGAGGAGAGAAATAGTTACAACCTGCATTTCTTGCATAAATTAATTATTGAATTACACGAATGTGTAGACATCTTACCTGTCTCAGGTGAGGTCGGAGGCACCAGGTTACTCCTCATAATAAAGTGGTCTGTAGGGTCTATTATGTCATACACACTGTCCCCTTGGGCGACCAAATCTACCTGAAAGTTCAAACAGAATGTTTCTTAAGAAAAATGCTTTTCACTTTCCACCTTATGCATTTGCTGGTGTAATAATGAAAACAATAATAAGAATATCTAGCTGTTTTACTCACCATTGAGTGTCCGAGGTGCTCAGAGACGCTGTCCGACAGGTAAAGTAGTTTTCCTTCCCCGGTCAGTAGCATTAGGAAACCTGGCATGGCTTGTACCAACTCTGAGAGCTCGTGAAATGAGAAGAATCTCGCGCTTTCCTCGGCACCGCTAGTTGCAGCTACATCTGAAAGAATTGACGATGAGACATGAATAAACCATGCACGCTGTCTCCACACATGCCGCTGCATTGTAAATGTAAACTCTCTGCACGCTGTCACACGGTAGGCTTTTCAGCACCATGGACAGCACTACTGTGTTTCAGCACTGCGGAGAGCAGCTTGTAAGCTTAAAAATCGCTATGAAGTACGATTCTCTTACATATCATAAACTGTCATGTTTTTTTTTTTCATAATTTATATTCAGTTCAGGCTGTCTAACGAGATCCACCTGTTGCCACTCGCGTAGCTCCTGCTTAAACACTTCTACTACGCCTCTTATTTTCTTGACAGCAATGTTTAACAATGCTACATGACGCTAACACAGCTGATACACGCCTGCAGTGTATGCAGTGAATATAAACGAATATTTACCTTGACAGAAGAAGACAGATTTTCTCGTGTACATGCAGGCAAGGGACATGATGTGTAGATAAGAGAGGCGAGCCTTGTCCGCATCGGTGATGGGCAACAAGTCTCTCAGGTTTCTGATCTCTGCGTTTATTTGGTCCCTCCGAGCTTTCGAAGCTCCTTTCGTGGATCGGTACATTGTGGTCGGTGGTCGAGGGGAAGGTGAGCAGGAGGAACTCGGGTGAAGTTGTGTTGAGTGCGGCGTGGCTCGAGGAAAGCGTAGATCTCTTTCCTTGAATGTGGTCAGAGTCACGGTGCGTGTTTTCACTGGAGTGTCATCTCAGCTCATGGCCAGAGTCAGGCTGCGCTCCTTTCTCCTGCCTGTCCCGGGTTTTCCTCTTCGGTTCCGCCACAGCGCCTGGCTCGGTACGGACCGGAGGCTCGGTGGCTTTCTCCTCCGGCTCGGAGCGTCAGTCAGTCGGCTGTTGTTGGAGCCGTGTCTCGCCCAGATGTCGGGAGCCCGTAAATCTGGTGGAGTTTCTCTGCTCGCCGGTAACTTATATAGGCTGGGACTCCGCTGGTGTAGGGGGGCTCCCAACGCGCCAACACCGACGTAAAAGAGAGAGCGAGAGAATGAGAGGAAGGGGGGAGTAGCACGGAGGGGAGGGCTGGGTGATTTTATGTGTCTCATATCAATGTTTGCAGCGCTGAAACTCACTCCTCTCCCCCTCCCTTCCCGTCTACTCCGGCTCTGACTCCGGTTCGACGTCAGCATCCCCTCTCCCCGTTGATGACGTTGGCTTGAAATCGGGAGCTCCGGCGACGCAAAAAGCCCGATTTGGACAAAACCGAGCAGGGGGCGGAGCCAGCGTGTGAAACGTAGACGGAGTCACCGGGCTCCGTTGGATGGAGGGGGGCGAGAGGGGGGTCCTGTAACTGAGCTGCATACGAACGAGATGGGCTACAGATGTCTTGCTGTTTCATTGCTAATGTAACGCAGCTACCTGACTGCAAACTTCAGCTATGATTCAGAACTTGATTCTGCCACTTCATGACGATTTTCTGCTAATGCCATTGATCACAGGTGTTCACAGATTTGCATGGATTGTCATGGATGTGCCTCATGAATACGCAGGTCACTGTGTGTCATCTTTCTTCTTTGAGCAAATCCATTTCACTCTCTCCGCTCACAACGTGCACCGTTACAGCTCACAGCCAGACAGGTCAGTGAGGCAGTAAGAGGAGCTGTTCACAGGCATTTCTGGCGGTGGAGTGGTTTTGTGAATGGAGGGTAAAAAAGTGTGCTATAATTGCTCTGTCCTTGAGTGAGCGCCGCACTGAAGCAGAAACACAATAAAAGCACCTCTTTATTTTATTACATAAATTCATACTCTCTACCCTTATAAGGCAAAACACTGACAGGAGCGACGGCGCAGCTCCGGCCAATTAGAATGCGCGCGCGAAGCAACGCCGGTCGCGGCAGCCAATGAGGGCCCTTGGAACGTAAGGACGCAGGCGGCGCGTAATGCGCGCGGAGAACGCGATTGGTCAGTGCGCAGTGAGCTCGAGGCCGCGGTGGAGCTGGAGCGCTGGAGTCACAGCAGGCCGAGCAGGAGCAGGTCAGTCACGCGCCCCTCTGACCGTGCACATCCCTCAGGGAGAGCGACCACCGGCGGGCCACGGACCTCCACAGACTCTCCTTTTCTCTGTGTGTGTCGTTATCTGCGCCTGCCTTATTCGCAGCTGATAAGCAAGCGAGTGAGTCAACACGAGGGTCTCGTAAAGGGCGAAAACCTGCGGCTCGTGCAATCACCCTGCCATCCGGTTAGAGCAGACCTCAGAGCGAGCAGCGGGCACCTTTTGGAATGGTCTATATTTGGCAGCCTTAAGTGACTCAGTTGTCCCGGTTAAAGTGCGTCCGGGACGCGCCAAATCACGCCGTCTCTCTGCACGAGAGGCAACGTGTTGCATCAAGATTGCAGCTTGTTGTTCATCCCTCTGGCTCTCGTTCAGAAGTTTTTTCGAGGGGCTTAAACCAAGTAGCAAGAGGAGAGCGACCTGCTGTTGGCCCACTGATGTCAAAGCTGGCGGCCCACTGACGTTTTGGCCCACCGGTGGTTAAGCAATGTTAGACAAATGGCACTTTTCATTGCTCATTTTGCGCTGATAGTCAAATTGGCTTGTTTTTCTTTCGTTTCTTTCTTTAGTTATCCTCTGTGAATTAGTTTAGTACTTTTAATACTTTTAACGGCAGTATCATAAATAAAGCCAGTGAAACAGCTATAACCAGTCTAGCGCGGTGTCAACATAATCATTTTAGATTAGGCCTAGTTATTAGTTTTTTTCTCAGGGCAATAGTCTGGGTGGTCCGAGGGTGGGCCAGCAGCGGCAAACAGTCAGCGGGGTTCCGACCTCATCAAGCCAGCGGTCCGATATATGCTCGCTATCTGACTGTATATACGCTCAGAAACATCCAGCACAGCGCGACACACAACTACAGTCTAACTGTTTTTCATTGTAAACCCCCCTTGCATGTTGAAATAGTAGGAGCGTGTGTGAAGTGACCGCCTACGTGTTACCCTTCCTAAAAATATCCCCAGCATGGCTACCTGCTCACTGACACACTGCACTCGAGGAGATAGATGGAGCTCATCAACAATACAGCGTTACTATTATTAGGCGCAGTGTTTGTGTTTTGGGGGTGAAAAATAGAAAGCTGGGGAGTCATGTGAGGTCCGGGGGGAAGAGTCAACAGCCTGGAAAGCAAAGTGCGTGGTGCTGAGTCGTGGGGCGTCATGTTTATGCAATTCTCATCTTTGGTGTGCAAAGTGTGTTACATCAGAAGGTGTGATCTACCTCTGTCTGAACAGCATATGGAAACAGTTATGTAAAAATGTAAGCTGTAGTTATAAGAAGTAGCACTTTTCTTTGTGTACACACTTAAAAAAGATGGTTCTTATAGAACCATTTCATACCTAAGTGGTTGTTTGCATAGTGAAATGGTTCTTCAGACTGATGGAGAATGTGTTGTATCTGATTCTACATAGAACCTTTTTGAAAATGGTTCTATATAGTGCCAAAAAGGGTTCTGCTATTGTTGCAAGTTTGACATCAGAACAATAGCAGAACCCTTTTTGCTGCTATATAGAACAATTTTCATAAAGGCATCACATTCTCCATCAATCTGAAGAACCATTTCACCAAGCAAAGAACCATTTAAGCATGAAATGATTCTGTATAGAATACGTGGTTCTAAATAGAACCACTGCATTTACAAAAGAACCCTTCAAGAGCCTGAGATCAGTCTAAGACAAAAGACACAAAGACAATTGGGGTATAATGATACATAAAATTCAGGATTCGATTCAATACGATTCAGTAATGTCCCAAAAGATACATTTTTTGATACGGCAAAAATAATTAGTGTACGTTTTGATAGGAAACGAATGAAGGAGGAATGCTCCATCAGAGCCTGAGGAATCCATAGAAAACCTCAAATGCCATTAATGCTTAATGCTTTGCTGTAGTCTCAGAAATGACACCTTCTTGAATAAAAAGGACATACAAACTAACATCACAGGTTCTACTACTGACACAAATGCACAAGCAGCAGGTTAGAGACATCTGAAGCAGCTCTAGGTGGAGCTCTGTAAAATCAGGAGGCTTCTTCTTGTGTTTTTTGATTTTTTAACACCAGGTTACGTGTTTGGGAGTCAAATTTAGAGATAATGAATGGCTGGGTTAGGAAATGTGCTCTCTCAAAAGTGCCATGAATAGTAGAGGTGTGACAATTTTTCATTTGATTCAATGTGATACAGTCGTGTCCCGACACAATACATTTTCAGTACAGCAAAAATAACCAGCAACATTCAGGTGTGCTTTGTGTTCATATTGTTGAAGGGGAATTCCACCACTTTTTTACATTTCTGCATAGATAAATAATGGAACCAAAGTAATTCAGAGTAGTTTGATCCTCTGTTTCTAGTTTATGCGCAAATTCTAAAAAAACATTTTACCATGTTAATGTTTGTACCATACACATAGCTTGCATGCACATTAAGGGCACTTTTTAAAAAAAAAATTCACAACCCCTGGAATTTAGAATAACAGAAAGCTTAGTCATTTGAGTATGGATGCGTGCATAACATAAGCCCTTCATCCTTGTACTCGGATAGCATGTGTGCACAGTTTTGATGACTGACAGATTTTCCACAAATGATGATAAATGAGAGATGCTCAGAAGAGACTGAGGGGTGTACTGTTTTAAATTTGTATACACTCTTTTTAAACATGTATTAAAATCATTACACCACTAAAAGACAACAAATTGGTTCCTAGATGCTTCAGAACTGAAGTATTAAACTCAGCTTCTGGAGGGTGACAGCCCAAAAATTAGTGTTCTCCCTCTTCAGCAGCATCCAGTTCAGCTCATGAAGGCCTTGCTAATCAGCTGTATGAGTTCAGTCAGCTGTAATGCTAAATTCTACAGTGCTGTGGACCTCCAGGACTGGAATATGACAATCTCTAAGCATTTCAACAATGTATAAGCATTGTCATAGAGAGCAATGTGTTGTCTTTGTGTGCTTTATCTCAGTAGACTGATTCCAAGTTTTATATGGACACATCAAAAGAGTGTAGTGCAGGTTGGCACTTAAGGCAGTGAAGCCCAACCCCGGTCCTGGTGATGTACCGCCCTGGAGAGTTTAGTTCCAACCCTAGCCACTTGGACCCTTATTTATGAAGCTTCTCAGAGTAGGAGTGCTGATCTAGGGTCTGTTCCTGTCAATATGGTCATCATAAATTAGATAGGAATCTGATCCTACATCAGCATGCCTACTGTGAGATGTTTTATGAATACTGGCCCTTATCGCTTGGCTTAAGGACTGTGAAGGCTTCTTTGAGGACATATTAAAGGCGAATTCCACTGATTGTTCAACAGTTCTACAGAATTCGGTTCTAGAAATGTAAACATTCACATTCAGAGCGTTTTGATGTGAGATGGTGCATGGTAGAGAAACTTACCAGCTCTAATTTCTCTGCAGTGGTGGTGATAGGAACCAGGAGTGGTGACATAACCAATGCAAATATAGTCCTTTACCATCCAAGACTGCCAGTGAACCTACACATGTCTTCTGAGTTTTATATGTAATATTGATAATAGTAAAATAGTGTCAAATCTGAAAATATAAGCTTGCTTTGTGTAATCTTCTGCCTTACACCCTGCATGTACCTCTCCACCCTGAGTGTATTTAAACCTTCTCAAAACAATCATAAACCAATCTCTCAGGCATCTGGCAAGATCAGAAGTGGTAAGTTCAGGTCC